GATATTTATCCCTGTCTGTCAGGGATGCTCAACATGCTTTTAATGAGAACAGTTTAACATTCATCCTACAGCTTCCCTGTGCCTTACTTTCCTGTAACCCTAGTTTTATAGGGTTAGGCTAGTATAAATGATCTAACCCAGTTTCACTAACCATCCGTCTTTAGCTGTCAGTGGTGCCACAGGGTTTGTTTGCTTTTTGGGGACTGAAGAAAAGTTTCAGTGGTTATAGGTCGGGAGGTAGAGTACGTCATCTGTTGATCACAAGGTTGGTGGCTCCATCTTTGGCTTCTCTAGTCTGCGTGCCAAAGTATCCTAGTGCAAGATACTGAAGTCCAAGTTCTTGCATCCATCAGAGTGTAAATGTGTGTGAATAGAAAAAAATGCTTCCGTGAATGTGTTTGAATGGCTAATTGAGACATGTTGTGTAAAGTGCTTTGAGTGCTCACGCTGAGTAGAAACGTGATGTATAAGAACCAGTCAGTTTATCATTTGCCCTTCCTTTGGTCTTTCTGTGAGGAGTTTGCATGTTCTCCCCGTGTTTGCGTGGGTTTCCCCGGGTACTCCGGCTTCCTCCCACAGTCCAAAGACATGCACTTTGTGGGGAAAGGTTAATTGAAAAATCTAAATTGCCCATAGGTGTGAATGCGGGAGCGCAAATGGTTGTCTGTCCCTGTGTGTTGGCCCTGTGACAGACTGGCGACCTGTCCAGGGTGTACCCCGCCACTCGCCCTATGACAGCTGGGATAGGCTCCTGCACCCCCCGCCACCCTGAGAAGGATAAGTGGAATGGATGGATTTATTGAAACGTACATGGAAATACAGGTAACAAGGCACAAGCAGAGTTTGTAGATTTCTATCCAGTTTGAAAGTCATTATTAATAAGTCAATAATACCTTTGTTCTTCAACACAGCCCAGACTCTCTTAGGCAGCGTTCTTGTAACTTTAAGTAGTCTTCAACAATAGTTCTCCAGGTTTCTTAAAGGACAGTCAAACCTTTTCTTTGGATGTTAGCAACGTTTAGATCAGTGGTTCTCAAACTTTTCACAATGAGTACCACCTCATAAAATATGGCTCTTGAAGTACCACACTTATGACCCACCCAACTCCCCGTTGCTGGCCGCAAAGGATTACCGCTCACTCGCAGAAGAAGCGGATCGGATTCTCCTGGCTACCAGGAGTTTCGGCATCCAGGCGATAGTTCCCGACTTACTGATGGCATCTCCCGCACCCCCACCGATTCTCCTGGGGGCCTCTGACTCATCGATGGTGGCTAGGATCTCAGCACGGTGACAACTTAACAGCGCCGTGCTGCCTTTGCAGTTTCAAGGCCCAGGGAAACGAGCCCGCAAGCACTCCGTAGTGGCCACGACAGCTGGCGATAAGCAAAGGCTGCTCTTCATAGAGGACTCAAAGCTCTTGTGTAGTCTTTGCATACCTCCACAATGGTATATTATTTAATCTTTAAAAAAATGGAGACTTCCTGCACACCACCAGAGAGAGTTCAAGTACCACTAGTGGTACACCTACCACAGTTTGAAAATTACTGCTTTAGATGATCCCAAACAGCTTCAGTAATGTTGAGGTCCTGGCTCTGGGGAGGATAATGTTTCACAGTGTTTTTCTTTCCAGTTATGTTTCTTTAATGCACTGGCAGTGTGTTTGGCAACTAATCAGATAGTTTCAGCATGGTATTACAGGATGGGTCACAATCTGTTGATGTTTTTGTGACAGGCTGCTAATAATAAAATGCCTAAAGATACAGTTTAAAATTGGTTTCCTGTGAAGTTAACTGTTATGTGCAGAATTAAACAGGTTCATCTCTTGAGTTAGGTGCCCTTTGTTATCCTTGAATGATTAATAGTTAAATAATAAGTCATAAAATTATTCCTGGTCAGGTACAAGGAAAGGACTGAAAGTGAGTGAAAAAAAGGCAGCCAATGCCAAAAGGCTTGAGCACTGTTGCTTGAGACCAAGTCCTTGGAAGCAAATACAAAACAGTAAGGAGTGTCTTAAGACATTTTCACAGTATAATTTGACAGCCAACCTGGAAAACCCTATATAACACTTACCTGAAAAAATGATGACTTAAGAGAGTAACACCTCAATCTGCCGACCTGACCCCACCCTCATCACCATTGATGTTACTGTTTTAGGTCCTTCCACAACAACTGTTAATAGATGCTCCAGCAGGGTTTTCCAGAGAGGTGTTTTTTGTCATCTGTTTGCTATAATTAGGGATGTTGATAGAAAACAGTTTTCTGGCATTGCTCCTCTCAGGTATGATAAATGGACACAGGCCAATGCATATTAGAAAGACCTGATGACTTACCCTAAGTCACTAAGTCATCATTCTTAAATTGGACTCTTAAAATAGTTTTAAAACAGCACAGAAACAGAGTGCTACCAAAACCCAAAGTTGTGATAAAAGTGTCCCTTTCAAATGTGACTAACTGCTTAAAGTTTTTCATGTTTGGATGAAAATATTTAACCTTTGAAGTCGATGACAGCATCAGACCCAGGAGAGCTCGGCAGAAAGAATGAGTTAATATGTGAAAGATCTCACTTTATGTTTGAGTTGGCTCGCAGGGCCGAGTCCCCCGCTGCGTGTCTGTAAAATCCTGAAACCGTGAAATCAGACCTGTGTTTCCATGACACGCATTCCTTTGATTTTTTTTTTTTCTGAAGCAGTAAAAGCAAAAAAGTGAATGAATGAATGATTAATAAAAGAAGGGGCAGGTCTGCTCTCCGTTTCCACCCTGGAATATATTCCTTTACGTTTGCCCCAGAGACATCTTTAAAGAGCATTTATTCTGGGTTAATAGTGGAATTCACCTGGGGTTGATATCTGAAAGTGATGGATAATAAAACCAGCTTCTAGCTGCCTGGTGACCTCTGACAAAGCCAAAGGAGAAAAAGGATTTCAGTCACTATTTGAGGGTTGTGAAATTTGGGGGTGGGGGGCGGCCCGGGATGTATGTATCTAATGATTATTATTAGATACATACCAACAGCATTTTATCACTTATCTCTGAAACAAAGTTTTGTGTTCCCAGATTACCCAGTATCAGTGTCTTTAGTTTAAACACATTTAAATTAAGACAGTGGTTTGTGAACAGAAATCTGTTGCCACCCTCACTTGTGCTTATTGGTTTGTTTGTTGCTGTTTTTTTTGCAAAAAGGTACATTTTTGAAACTGTTTTAGCTCGAGAGGCAGTGAGAGAAAAAATGCATGACAGTGCCAACATACTTATAAAAGATGACAAAGTGTTTGAGTTGACCGATTAACACACAACCCAAAACTTGACGACCTCGCCTGTGCGTCACCTGTAACAATGGTTTTTGACACCTCAGCATACGTCAATAAAGATGTGGTTTAATGACCTTTAGAATAGTTTCCAAGGGTTTTCCAAGTGTAGCTGCATAGGCAGAGACCACCCTCACTAACTTCTGAGGCACACCCAGTCATTTTGTTGTATAAGCAGGACTAAAATATGACAAACCAGATTGGCCAACAAGTTATCCGGTTGAGAAAATGCAAGATGAGATAAGCGTTCGAACTTTCAAAATAAAGCTTGTCCACTTAAGCTTGTCCACTGATTCTGTTCTGGCGCGTTGGATTGTACATGATGGTTGGTCACTAAAAGACTTCCTCCCCCTCTAATGCAGCGGTTTCTGTGAGGCATGCAGGTGTGGATGCAACGGCGACTGCACGGACTCTGTCAAGTTTCGAATCTAAACTCTAAGGCGGTTCGTTTATAGAGAGAACATGGTCCAGCCTCGACTAAACTACCAGGTGTACGTCGCAGGTCTGAGCAGAGTAGCAGGTATGCGTTGCATCGGGGATGCCACAGAGTACTGCAGACCTGGAGAGTACACACACTGCAGCAGTAAACCATATAATCAACCAATGACTTCCTGCATTTTCTTTGTTCACAGCTAGCCAATAAGCAGACATTCTCATGTGGTTTGTAGTACGGATGTCATGAGACGCGATCAAGTACTTTGTGATGGAAAAGTTCTGACAACTTGATGGTTTGATACTTTTTGATGTTTGAAGAGAATTTACAGTAATGTTTCTGATGATCGAGGAAACAACTGTTTTATTGATGCTATCAGGCTGCAGCATTTTTAAGTGTAGGTAAACAGCGCACATTTTCCATCCTGCTTTTCCAATGAGCTACTGTCACTGATGACACACTACCTATGTGGAAGTGTTAGTACTACTGAAACGAGGTGCCAGCAGAAGCGTTATAGTGCATTTGCAGTGACATGCATATTTGTTCTTTGGATGCATGAGCATGTTGTTCCAGTACTTCTCTAAATGTGGGAATAAAACTGCAGCAAAATAAATGACAAAAAAAGATCCGTCCTGATTTTTCTGTCATTGTTGGCCTGACTGTCTTCCTGCCGGTGGTCCGCTCAGTAAGCAGGTCATTTGCCCCGTCCGTCTGTGTGTTCCTGTCTTTTATTTCTTTCATGCTTTTTCCTCTTCGTGTGTGTGTGTGTGTGTGTGTGTGTGTGTGTGTGTGTGTGTGTGTGTGTGTGTGTGTGTGTGTGAGATTTATGGCTGAACTGAAACCTCTCACCACACTGCACCGCACAATCGTCAATGTCTCACTTCTCTGCAGCCTAAAAAACACCCTGAAACATCCCAGCAATGCATTAACGGCACAGCCTTCACCACTGTGTGACCCGCAGTCACCTCTGTGCCAAACACACACACAGAGTCTATTACAGGGGAATGTGATGGGTTTCTGTGGGATGTTTGGTTCGGGCTGTTTTTGGAGATGCTGTTTAGGGTGAAGTTGCCAGGGGGACAAAGACAGTTTAACAAAAAATGTCTTCAAAATGGGCTTTAAAGGAGTCGTTCTGGCAGCGCTGATGTGTCTTTGAGTGACTTTTTTTATTATTAGAATGATTTCTTTTTTTCTTGAATGTCCTTCTGTTTGCCTTCCAAGTGTCCTCTTTCATCTCAACCAAATCGTGTCTTTGTCTGCAGATCGAGGACGGAGGGAAGGCTGCCCACTGCAAGAAGCTGAAAGTTGGTGATGAACTCATTAACATAAACGGATCCCCCCTCTACGGCAGCAGACAAGAAGCCCTGATTCTCATTAAGGGATCCTACAGGATACTGAAGCTCACAGTCAGGAGGTAAACGCTGTGAGAACTACACAGATCCACGAGAGGTTCATGCTAGGGTTAGCAGACAGAGCTGTGGGTGGAGATGTCATTTGACAAAATCAGAAGCTACGCATACCTCTCACACAGACTCGGATTCGGCGCTGCTGCAGAAGCAGCTATACCAGCATTCGTGAGAGTTCATTTATTTATTTAGTTCATTTATTTAAATAAAAGTTTGCAACGGTGAGAGGAACTGAACAAGAACAAGCTGAGATAATATTATAATGTGTAATTACCTCTAACAAAGAACCTCGGCGAACGGGCTCACGAATGAGGTTATTACTGCAACATCGTCCAACAAAGTCCCCCTGCAGTTTTGGTAAAGATAATGACTTTGCTGTGATTCTTGGCTGTATTTACATGTGAGATTGTGCTGAGAGAGAAAGGCTCTTACTTTGTTCTGAGAGCGAGGGCTTCATGTGTTTGCAGCTGCTGAGCAGTGGGAAACCAACGAGTGCAGGAGATCGGTTACAGAGCAGCACTGTCAATTTTTTTTACCCGGTGCTCCTTTTCTGGGGAAGAAAGCTCGAAAGGGGAAGGAAAAGGCACCAGTTGGCAACAAGGAGGTGACCTGAAGGGTCATTACTGAGTAAGGTTTGTCAAAATAAATCAAGACTCAGATACTAATTGATTTAACTAGTTTATGTCAACATCATTAAAGTACTGAACAGTTACCACAACTCTTAACCTGGTCAGTGCATATTTTTGAAGTCAGTACACTTCACCTTTAAGGTAAAGACCCTACAATATTAGAGAGAAACCCCCAACAGTCAGACTGTCCCCTATGAGCAGCACTTGGAGACGGTGGGAAGGAAAAACTCCCTTTTAAAAGGAAGAAAGCTGTGGCTGAAGCAGGCTCAGGGAGGAGTTGCCAAATGTTGTGACTGGTTAACTATTATCAGTTACCCGATAGCCACATTATAGTATCGTTAAGATAGTGTGCTTCGGCTGCGGTTAATTTACAAAGGGTCATTACAGCAGGTACCACATGTTTCATTTGGCTCGTTTTATACTGCGTGTCCTTCCTGATACAACCCTGAACCTCTAACCCCCTGGTTTGTGTCTTCTCGGAAAATGGTTTTGAGTATTGAGTATTTTCCTGGTTATCAGTATCATGTTTGAAATTCCTACCTCTCACCTGTCAGTGGAGCCAGAATCCAGGAAAAGGTCACCAACATGTAGCCACACATCTGAAAGCATATTGATTTGTTCTCCTGATATTTAGATTGTAGTATTGATATTTTAACCTTGTACAATGCACATTCACGTGCTTTGCAGACTGCTGTGTGCATGCTGTAACAGTGTACTATCACCAGGGGGCAGTGTCAAAGGAGTAATGCTGTTCACGCTTATGATATTGCCGGGCCTTTAGTTTGGTCTCTGCAGCAGGGGCTAATGTTCTTCGTCTTAGAAATGAGATGATGTGAAACTCGAGCTTAAAAACATTTAATACGTCCTCTTCAGCCACTGTCATTGCCCTTCGAGGCCCTTCTTTGTGTTCGTTTTTGTTTTTCGGCTTCTTTTTCTTCACGGTGAACAAAGTTGTCGCTTCCTTTCTCTTTTATTTTTCAGCCATTCAGCATTCGGCCTATTCACAGCATCATTCCCGTCAGCCTCTCTGCTTTTATTTTGAGGCATGTCAAGCTCCCAAGCTGAGATTGCAGATTTCAAAAAATAATAATAGTTTAAAAAAAACAACCATAATAGTTAAATAAACGGCACTCGTACATAAACTTCATCAACAAGTAATTTCGTGGCTTCACAGTGAACGTTGGCTCATTCGTCTTCTTTGACTTGTTGACCCCTAATATTGTGTTTAGTTTGATTCTCAGCATTGGGAAGGAAGGTGAGGGAGGAAGTCGCCGTCCTTTTCCCCGGTTCATCGGCACCTAAAAGGCGCGTTCTCACACTTAAGATGTTTTTCACGGGAAGTCACCTTTGACTTTCAGGGTGTCTGAAAGGAAACCGATGAGCAGTGAGGGCGGAGTATAGGTGACTCTGCTTGTGTGTGCGTTTGTTGACATCTACACCAGCAGTTGTATATCCTTAGTGCTTTATTTAAAAGTCATAATTGCCGTTATTCAAAAACTCACAGGACTGTGCACACATCCAGAAGATTTTAACTGACACTTGCTCTGACTTGGACTTTTGCATTCACTTCATGGTTGTAACTCTGACGTCAACTCTCTTTAAGCACCGTTTATGGTCCTTTCCAGAAAGAACAATCTTGCTCTATAGCAGATAAATCCCACCTGTGTTTTCTGTTTATCATTTAGGTACTTTGCAACTAGCGTGCTTGTCAGAGCTTCCTGCTAAAAACAGCTACGCATTGTTTCTCCTCAGAACTTTAATGTTTGATTCATGGGATGTTTGAGGTTGTGTGTAGTCTAAGGCGCAGGCTCCAGCGCAGCTCTGGACCCTACACTGTAGCTTGACATGCACCTTCACAGAAGTGTAACTGCAAGTTGAAGTGGTGCACACTCCTCAGCAGCTTGAAAGGTCTGTTTAGGAGTAATATGCAGTGTAAACACGCTGTATTGATTAACACAAGGATGCACCTTATTGAGACATAGTAAAAGGGTAGAAATTTGTGCACAAAAACACACAGACACACAAAGGGCAAAAAAACATCATTTGTGTTTTGGCTTTGGAGCTGGAGCTAATGACGGGAACAGTTTCAGCCCGTCAACTGAACTCCAGTTGGCATCTTAATGTGGATTAAAAAAGTGCAGGGGGAAAAGAGCAGCAGATCTGAGCTCTGGCATTTAAATTGTCAGGAGCTGGACTCAACCGATTGCTGCTTTGATTGAACTGTGAACTTCAGCTATTTATCAAGTTCTTTTACAGTGAGTTCAGATATGAAATCTAATTGAATTTGCGTGTCAGGTTTTTGTTATCACTGACGTTTTGACAGTTTTGAATATCAGTATAATAAATCGACGCAATGACAGGAATTTTAACTGTAATTACATTTGAATTGTAATTATTTCTAACAAAAATAGTTTTAATCTGTTCATTCTGAAAACACACCAGGGATCAGCGTGCTCGCAACTGTTTTTAGATGCTTGCTTTTGTGCTTGTGCTGCACAGCCATCTGTCTTTCTCAAGAACCAACAGTAGTCCGCAATCACGCCCGGATCAAAATCTCCCTGATATCAGTTCTCCATCACTTTTCTATCTTACATCAAATCTGTCCTGCCTGCTAACATCTTCAAGATTTGGTGGAAAAACACTTGAGGTAAGTGCGTCTTCAGTGTCATTCTGGCACTCCTGAGCTGATATGTTTTCATTGTGTTATCCACAAGCTCAGCATAATTCTCTGCTCTGCGATTGCCAACAAAATTCGGGATAACCTGTGTTAATGCTTCCCATTGCTGCTGATTCAGGACCAACCTTACCTATACTTGGCGTCACTTTCCTTGAGACCAGACTTATTTCTTGAATGCTGAAGGGCGTTGCTGTTTCTGTCCAGCCATCCTAAGTTGTCCAACAGTTGGCATGTCATAACTGGGGAAAAAAATAAAACAAACCAAAAAACAGGTAATGAAAATGAGTTCGCAAGTGATGTCAGCAAGTAAAATTTGTTAAAGTACAGTTGACTCCCAGCAGCAAAATACTGGTTGATCAGTGTAATAAAGTGTTTCAACAATGGGTGCTCTGTTACGGGGTCGTTCGGGGAGGCCGTACCTGTTTCTATAACAAGCAATTAGTTCAGAGCACACAGAATGAGTAACTGGAGTTGAGTTAATGGCTGGCCTGATACTCTAAAATATTTTGACAGATTAGTAATAGTCATACTACCATTTGTATTGGAAATGTCATTAAGAATACGTTCATTTGAAACCTTTTTAACTTTAATACTTCTGACCCAAGTGAGGACACGTCACAGTCTTATCAGCGATTTGATTTGGGGATATTTATTCTGGTACTTTTGTTGGCTTGATTGACTCTGAGCCTACTTTGAATAACCCTTGTTTCTCTCTACCGATGTGAGTAGTCTCTCTCATATTTCAGGCCTGCTTTTACAACAAAATGACCGGGTGTGAATTAGTGGTTAGTGAGAGTGGTCCCTGCCTATGCAGCTATCCTTGGAAAACCCTTGGAAACTGTTCAAATAGTCATCAAAGCACATCTTTATTGATATACTGAGGGTTCAGAACTCGTCTTTAAGAGTACAGGGGAGCTCATCTTTATAGGGGAAAGGGTTAAGGGCTATTTGTATAGACTTAAACCTATATGTTTCATCTTAAATTGCTGCTCAGACCAATTAAGCAGCTAATAATATCAACCAGAGCTCTGAGAATTGCATTAAAACAACAAAAATCGGACATTTTGCCAAATAAATGAAGAAACGAGCTGCATGTTTTTCCATAACATCTTAAAAAGTTTTAAATTTAAGCTGTAAATATCCAGAAAGTCTGAAGCTGCTAACTTGGCAGTACATCTACAGCATATCTATGTAACCGATCAGACTGTTAGTGTTGAGTGTTTAGCATATGTGTGGACACATGTCGGCTCTCACACAGCTTTGGGAAAGCCCCAGCAGTCAGACATGCAACACATACCAGACACCAGCACCCACTGTGGGTTTCACTGGGAGAGTTCTCATCGCCAGTTGCATTCCTAAAGACATTTCTGTCTGTCCACTGGTCAATCTGTCAGCCTGAGCCTGCTGAATATGATGTACAGTGTAGTACGCATGTGGGTGTAAATACTGTTGTGTGCATGCCTAACAGAATTAATCCGCCTGCTGCAGAAACAGGAGCAGAAAACCCCGAGGTGCTGGACGGCTGGTCTGGTTTCAAGGCCAGAACAAGGCGCGTTGCTGCCAAACAGCTGTCTGAAGCTGTCCAAGGAGACAAAGCAGTAGTTGTAACACCACTAATATCTTGGATTTACATCTTAAGTAAGTTAGGTAGTATGGAAAAATCAACGCCAGTGTGAGAGAAAAGTTGATAAAAACAACAAAG